TATATATATATATATATATATATATATATATATATATAAATTCATACCACAAGGTCAAAAAGAGGTTCTTTCCTCGATAGTTGGAATAAAAAACTCAACTTCTCAGCCCATTCCATCCTTTCAGTCAAGCCAGATGCGAATGAAATAGCTGCTCCAATTCCGACAAGATCAGGAATTCTTTTATTTAGCCTGGATGTGGTATCTTATTTAGTTACATTTTCATTATATAATAATTAATTTCATATGGTGAATTAGCTAAGGTTCATTTTTGTTATTTCTTTCCTTGCCATTTTTATAGGAAAAATTACGTGGTTAAGCAAATTTATACTACTTAATTATTCATCATAGCTATAGTTTGTTATAATTATCACTCGTGACTAACATTATCCATGAATTACGTGGGCCGACTTTGAGTTTGTATAATTAGTCACGTTTGTATATCAATAATTCGCCAGAATATACAAATACATATGTATAATATACAATTATCTAACTAATATACATAAATAATTCACCTCTTCCACTCTCTGCCTTCTCTTCCTCGCCTCTCTCCTCCCTCTCCCAATCTCGCTTGCCATATATACAAATGCATCTGTATAATATCTAATTATCTAACCAAAATACATATATAATTTACCTTTCTTCCACTCTCTACCCTCTCTCGCTTGCCTCTCTACTCCCTCTCCCAATCTCTCTTACCTCTCTCCTCCCTCTCCCAATCTCAGTTTCCATATATACAAATACATATATATAATATACAATTATCTAGCCGATATACATTGAAAGTAATTTGAGCATTCAATATACTTTTAAGGTAGCTGGTGGAGTCAACATTTTGTTGAGATAATAAAATTAGACAACGTACATAATTAGTTGTTTAAAAATGAAAAAAAAGATATAGTAGTTATCGTAAAAATATGGATCTCGTGTCTAACATAATTTCAAATTTAAAGCTATACAGTGCATGAGGAGAGAATTGTCTAAGGTCAATAAGGAGACCGCTCATCTCTTTTTCATTTGATGTGAGAATCTTCAACATCCCACCTCACACTCACGACTAGATATCTGGTGGTAAACAGTAACATGGGATCTACTACCACGTGAAAAGATAGATCTTGTTCTATCTCAACTCCAAAAAACCAGTTCATGAGAAAAAGATTATCCTAAATTACTTAATGAAACACATTCATCTCTCTCTGGGACTCTTCAATCGTTATATTTTATTAAAAGAATGTATAGTATCTCAAATGGCAATTTCAACATCCATGCATTAGTCTATGTATATTAATATTAGTATCCTTATCAATTCAGATTACAAATTTAATATAATTCAATGATTTTACACCTTCATGTGTTTTGGAAAATAAAAGTCTCCCATTCACATGTATAATTAAAATGACATGTATGATGAATTTATTGATCATTATATATTCATATTAGTTGTGAATATTTTTTTCTTGAAATGATTATTGAGTCATGTATTTTCTTCTTCCTTTTTCCAAGGAGACCCACCTCTTCTTCTTCTCTCAATTTTACCACCTTCAAACAATAATTTCATGCGAAGATGAATGTATTACACGTACCAAGATATATAGTTTCATTGGGTTTAACTTTTAAGTGTTCAGGTAGCAAAATCATGAGTAGAATAATCTACGCGATAATCCTGAACCAAGTACAAATATCTCTTAAAGTTATTTCGCCCATGTTTACTTATATACACTATCACTTTATTTTGTTTTCTTGTTCAAACACATTTTAATATCATATTTAGAAACAAAAATAAACAATTTTTCATAACCAAATCTAAGCATTCATAAAAAAACAAATATTTTCTAACTTCTATATAACTTTGAATAAAAAAATTGCATGTCTCGAAAATAAAATAGCAAACAAAAAATCAAATTAAATTTTTTTGTAACTTTGCATGCAAGTGGGCGAAACTAGCTACGAAAATCTTGATTGAAAGTTCAAATATATATTTCTATTTTCTTCTATATTTGACCATGTCAAATTATGATATCTTATTGATTGTTTAAATTTTTTAAAGAATAACTTTAATCAATAGATAATTCTGAATGGAGGAAATCAACTATAAATCTCAAATCCTGAATCAAGCCTCTACATACTTTGCAAGATTCAAAAAACAACCTAGCCTCTCAAGCTCGATTTTTGCATAAAATTTATGTGATTATTCGACTAATAAAATCTACAAATCTTCTCATAGTTGTAGCATAGTGGTGGTGAGCGCGGTGCTCATGGATAGCTTACCGGTGGTGGTGATACTAAAGGTTTTGATGATGATGATGATGATGATGATGACGACGACGACGACGACGATGATGATGACGATGAAGGTGGTGGTGCTAGTGTCTGTACACTAGTGGAGGTGATGATGGTGATGGTGGTGCTATCGCCTATATAGTACTGGTGGAGGTGGTGGTAGTGATGGTGGAGTTTGTACTGGTGAAGGTGGTGGTGATGGTGATAATGAAGGTCGAGGTGGTGATACTAGTGGTGGTGGTGGTGATGATAATTATGGTGGTGGTGGTGATAATGAAGGTCGAGGTGGTGATACTAGCGCTCGTGGTGGTGGTGGTGGTTATGATGATAATTGTGGTGGTGATGGTTATAATGAAGGTCGAGGTGGTGATACTAGCGCTCGTGGTGGTGGTGATGATGATAATTATGGTGGTGGTGGTGAAAATGAAGGTCGAGGTAGTGATACTAGCGCTTGTGGTGGTGGTGGTGGTGATAATGAAGGTCGAGGTGGTGATACTAGCGCTCGCAGTGGTGGTGGTGGTGATAATGATGATGATGGTGGTGGTGATGATGGCGATAATGATGGTGATGGAGGTGGTGATACTAGTGCTAGTGTTGATGGAGGTGGTGATGGTGGTGATGATGATGGTGATGAAGGTGGTGATACTAGTGCTACTGTTGAAGGAGGTGGTGGTGGTGATAATGAAGGTCAAGTTGGCGATACTAGCGCTCACAGTGGCGGTGGTGGTGATAATGATGATGATGATGGTGGTGATGATGGCGATGATGATGGTGATGGAGGTGGTGATACTAGTGCTAGTGTTGATGGAGGTGGTGGTGGTGGTGATGGTGGTGGTGATGATAGCGATGATGATAGTGATGGAGGTGGTGATACTAGTGCTACTGTTGATGGAGGTGGTGGTGGTCCTGGGGGTACATCACGCTTCCAACGCCGTCCTACATTATGCTCTGGAGTTGGCGGTGCTGGTACTACTCCACCCTTATCTCGGTCTAAACTTTTTAATGCTTCTGCTGAAAGGCTACAACACTTGTACTTCACCATCATTAATTCATGGATGACTAAAGAAATTAGTAGACATGAAATTTTGTATGTAGGCTTCATTGTGAAAATTGTCATCTCACATTAATAACTTAAGTTTTTAGATATGATTCCGAATGCAATTTCTATATATAATATAAAAGCACATATGTATAATGAAGTCTTTGGTGCAAGTCTCACTTATCATCATTTATTATAAGAAAAATAATCAAATTCTCACCAAAGAAAAACTCCTCATAGATCCTAACACACACATTATTATATCTAACTAAAAACTTTAAATAAGATCATCACTTACCTTGACATTAGATCGTTTGGTACAAAGATTAATATCAATAATACGGAATTAGCAATGCAGAGGTTAGTAATGTAGAGATTGGTAATGTAATGTTTAATTTTATCAAGTGTTTGGTTCATTATTTCTCACCTCATTTTATATTTGAATAAAAACATGCACAAAATTTTTATTTCCAATTATACCCTCAAATTATTACATAATTTGATCAAGATAGATAATTTGCATTTGCTGGAAACTGTTATTTTTCTGACCTTCTAACTAGTTAGGAGAAACAATCTTTTTGGTCATATTTGCTATTTTTTCACTTAAATTATTTGAGAATATATATTAGTCATCTTAATAAATTAATCTTTTACGAAATATTAATTTTCAATTAAAAAAATAAATAATCTACTTTTAAAATAAAAAATATAATAAAAATTAAAAAATTAAATAAATTATTTACATTTACCCATAAAAATAATATTGTAATTGGTAAATGTAGAGGTAGTTGGCTGAAACAAATGCATAATAATTCCCTGCCAGAGTTTGGTGAGCATTAATTGTTTTCTGTTCAAACACATTTTATTATGAAGCAAAAAAAAATTATATAACAATAATCTTTGAAATCAAATCTAACTACTCACAAAAGAAATATTTTCAAAACTTTTATCCTTTTGAATAATAAAGGGAAACTTTTACGTATAGTCACTTAAAAATAATTAATTATTCTTTATAGCTATAGTTTGACAATTACAATTTGTAGCTACATGTTATTTGGAGGAGAGAGACGAGCGAGACTGGGAGAGAGAGGAGAGAGGCGAGAGAGAGAGGGGGAAAAGAGTGGAAGAAAGGTGAATTGTATATGTATATTGGTTAGATAATTGTATATTATACATATGTAATTGTATATATGGCAAGAGAGATTGGGAGAGGGAGGATAGAGGCGAGTGAGACTGGGAGAGAGAGGAGAGAGGTGAGCGAGAGAGGACAGAGAGTGGTGAATTGTATATGTATATAATTGTACATTATACATATACATTTGTATAAATGGCAAGCGAGATTGGGAGAGGAAGGAGAGGTGAGCGAGATTGAGAGAAAGAGGAGAGAGGCGATCGAGAGAGGGCACAGAGTGGGAGAGAGGTGAATTGTATATGTATATAGGCTAAAAAATTGTATATTATACATATTTATTTGTATATCCTGGCGAATTATACATATACAAACATGACTAATTATACAAACTCGAAGTCAGCCCACGTAATGAACGTATAATGTTAGTCGGAGTGGTAATTATAGCAAACTATAGCTATGATGAGTAATTAAATAGTATGAGTTTGCTTATCCGTATAATTTTTCCATAATAAAGTTACTTTCTTATCAAAAATAAAATAGCAAAAAAAAAAAAGCAAATTAAAATAAGTAGTACATAGTGGGAGTGGACAATCTAGCAGAGGAAAATCTTGATTGAAAGTACATATATATTTTTATTTTTTTCCATCTCTGACTAAGTCAAATCTCAATATTTTATCAATTATTAAAATTTCACAAAATAGAAAAAAGTTACTACATAATTAAATTCAATAAACCAATCATAAATCTCAAATTCTGAATCAATTAGCCTCTACAGACTTAACAAAATTTAGAAAACTTACTAGCTCTCAGACTTGATTTTTGCACAAAATTTACGTGATTCGATCAATAAAATCTACAAATTAATTAAATCTTCTCATAGTTATAGTATAGTGGCGGTGCTCATGGATAACTTGCTAGTGGTTATGGTGGTTGTGATGATGATGAAAATTCTAGTGCAAGCGCTAGTGGTGGTGGAGGTTGTACTGGTGAAGATGGTGGTGGTGGTGGTGATAGTGAAATTGATACCAGTGATAATGATGGATGTGGTGATACTAGCGCTAGTGCTGATGGAGGTGGTGATGGTTGTGATAGGAGAGAAGATACTGGAGAAGGTGATGATAATGATGGTGGAGGTGACAATACTAGCGCTAGTATTGGTGGAGGTGGTGGTGGCTCTAGTGGTACATAATGTCGTCTCCAACGACTTCCTAAATTATGTGTTGGTGGTGATGGTGGTGATGCACGTCCACCCGTATTCCGATCTAAACCTTGTACATCTAGGGCAACATTGTAGGAAAATTGATGGATGAGTAGGGATACTAGTAGACATGAAATTATATAAGCATGCCTCATTGTGAAAAACAAGTTTATAACTAAAGTTCCACTATGATATATAATATAAAAAAATATCGCTATGCTATAATAACTTGAGTTTTTAGAGGTGTTTTTAACAAACTTCAATATATAATATTAGAGATATATATAATGAAGTTGCTAGTACAAGTTCCATATTGTCATAATTCATTTTTAAAAGATATATTTCATGCTTTTAATTCAATAATAATAATCAAATTCGCACATGGGAAGATTTATTATAAGTCCTACACAAATATAATATACATTTGTATCATATATCTAACTAAAAACTTTAAATAAAATCATTACTTACTACGAAATATAAATTCTCTACGTTTTAGTCCTTTAAATATAACATATTTAAATAGCGCTTTCTACTTTTTAGAATATTTTAGACTTATATATCATCTCATTAAAAATTTTACGAAATGAAATATAAAATTGTTTTTTTTTTCGTAGTCCCATCATTTTTCCATAATAATTAAATGTTTTGGTCTGGTCCCATGGCTTTTATGTTAACGCGGTTTTGAAATTGAAGTCTTTTATCAATGAAAGTGCTAAATTATCAGAAAATTTGATAATTTTATTGGAAAATTTAAAAATTATAATATTTTTTAAAATTTTAAAATAAATTGATCTTTTACCATTTTTTATTTAAAATGTACTAAAATTAAAAGGATAAAAATATTTTCAAAAGGTAAAATAATATAAATAAAACATCATTCTGATCAAATTTTCTGACAAAAGGATCTTTTCCTAATATTAATTGTTCATTTTATTCCAAATTACTCATCAATTCACTTATATGTATTTCGTCAAAGAACTTTTTTTTTAAAAAAAATGAAAGAGCAACATAAATCAAAATACATGATAAATTCTCTCACAAGACAATCTTCATAGAGATTAACTTGTATTCACTGACAGTGGACAAAACAAATTACACCATCAGCTCGAACCCAATAATAAATATATGTTTTAGAATTCAGAATTCAAAAACTCAAAATTTTAGCCCTACCTCTGTCTCTTCATGTACAACTTGTCGGTACTGATGATGGTGATGGTGATTGTGATGGCGGTGGAAAAGGAAAATGCATATGAGATACCATACTAGCATGTGGTGGTGTGATTCTTGTTTTTCCCCCTTTTAAACCTCTTAATTCTCTGGCATTAATCTTGAATTGAGAAAACAATTTCTTGTAAGAATTACCATATTGTTGAATAGACCTTGATGTTGCTTCATTGATAATCATGAATATTAGAAAAATTGAAATTATACAATATAGTAGCCTAATTCTTTCAAATTTTCAAAAATTAATGAAGTTTGAAAATTAAGTTCACATCATTCCAATTTATATTACTCTTTCTCTAATTACTTTAACTTGGAGTTACCTCTTTTTTTTTCTTCTATTTATTTGAACTCTTATGAATATGAAAATAATGGTTAAAATCGAAGTCAACAGTCAATCGCTCATATCGAAAATAGAATTGACTAATATTTTTGAAGGAACATGTTGTTTGACTATCAAACCAGACCATATAAAATGTAATTATATATAACTAACGTTAAATGATTATCTAAAATAAATGGTGTGCGTGACTACGCGAGTAATAACATTATTAATTAATGTGTGACAAGTTAAACTATTCTAATAATTTTATTTTAAAAAATGCATGATATAACTTAAATCCACTAAATAATTTGATTTATATATTCATAGACAACTATAAGAATAAAATATTAGCAACTCATTTTTGGAAAGTTGACTCTCAAGTCTTCGTCATTCTGCTGAAATTGAGGTATATTTATCAATATCCAAGAGGTAGATCTAGACAAGTAATTTTGAAACGAATAAAAGTCTTTTCAATTTTATAATCTTAAATTTATTAGTAATATTTTTATGATTATTATAAATAAATAAATTATTTTTAAATTTTATATTTAAAAAAAGTCAATCTTTTTGAAAGGTAAAAAAAAAAATAGTATAATATAAACTTAAATGAAGTGATCGCTATCGAATAACTTCTTTTTAAAAGTGAAAGACAAACATGAATCAAAATGCATAATAAATTATCTCACAAAAATCCAAATCTAACACTCATCCCAATTCCAACGTCGGATTTTTCGGCGCAAATTCATATTTAGTCGAACTTTAATGTGGATATCGAACACCGGATGAAATCACTAAAACAGTACATTACATGGGGATTTTTCTGGGATTAGTAAGAAAATTCGCAGAAAACTTATTTTCTTGCAAATTTTCATACTAATTCCCAGAAAAATCTCCATGTAATTCATAATTTTCTTGTAGTATAATAATAATAATTAAAAAAAAAAAGACAAAGACTTTGAAAGTCAAATAGTCAACCAAAAAAAAATATGTGGGAAGCAACATGACGTCTCGAACTTAATATACTATATTTTTTAGAATTCAGAACCAATAAACTCAAAATTTTAACTATATCCTGGAATAATTTGTTGGTGCTGGTGGAGGAGGTGGTGGTTGTCGTGGAAGCGGCGTCGTAGGAGGGAGATGCACACCAGATCCCTTATTAGCCTCTGGTGGTGTCATTGTTGTTTTTTGGCCTTTGAAGCCTCTTAGCTCTCTAGCAACTTTAAATTGAGACAACAATTTCTTGTAGGAATTATCATATTGTTGAATGGACCTTGCTTTTGCTTCATATATATTCAAGGATATTGTTATTAGAAGAAATGAAATTATACAATATTACCCTCATTGTTTCAATTTCTCAATAGTAGTAATGAAGTTTCTTGAAAATTAAGACATCACATCACCCCTACTTATATCGATAATTCTAAGTCAAAGGGTTGAAGAAATCAACGTTACTATGTGAACAACTTGAAGTTTTCTTGTTTTTCCTATATTGATATGAAAAATGATAGTTTTAATCGGATTCAATTGCCAACTACTCCTATGTATGCAAATGACATAGTAAAAAAAAAAGTTAAAAAATTTGTTAAAGGATCATTAAACAAGAAATTTAAATTTAAAGTAATTGTGTATATCTGATTAAATTTTTTAAAATATATTGTATAAATACTAAAACTGATAATATATGTAATTGTATTAAACTAGAGGTAAGCATAGTATATATATGATACTGAGATGGTTTTTCGTAAAATGAACTTGGCTCAGAGAATCAACCCATATCTAACACGTTAATTACGTAGGATGGGGCTAAGATTTTTCAGCCTAATTTGTTGTAAAACTAGGGTTTGGTGATAATAATTGGTACAATTTTTTAAAAAATTCTTGTTCAAAAGTTATTTTCGGAAGCAAAATAAAACATGAATCGTAAGTTCACCCACAATAATCCTGAATCATCCAACCACAACCAAATCCAAAACTCGCAACAAAAAGAACATATAATGGAGGACTCAATCTTATTTATAGTTAGGGCGAGCGCGGTGCTCATGTGAATGAAGCTATATATCCACTTACGAAATCCCTAACTTTTAGCCCTTATATTTGTATTTTAAAGAAATTAAGGTGATTATAATCACGGAGATGGTGATAGCGGTAATGATGGTAAAGATGACGATGATGAAGTTTCTGATACAAATTTTGTTATAAAAAATATATATTATCAAATCGGACCTAAGAAAATATATTATGGATCCTACCCATATCTACATTTGTGTCCTAGCTAACTAAAACCTTAAATAAGATGATCACATACCTAACATTCAAATTTTTTTGTGTTTTAGTCCTCCAAAAATTATTTCACAACAAATTATCCAAATTCAACTTATAGTATTTAGAGCTCTCTACTTTTAGGATTAGTTTGAACCTATCATCTAATTAAAAAATCTGACAAAATGAAAGCAACTCAAATTCAACATTAATACCAAAATAAAAATTTGATGTCAAGGAAAAACATGACCATATGAATATCTTAATAAAAATATTTATTAATTTTTTGTTTAGTAGGTCTTTATCATTTTACCCAAATAATTAAATACTGTCATCTTGCACCATGACATTTTAAAAGGTGTAATAGATGGTATTGAAGTTGAAATCTTTATCACCATTAAATGTAGTGATTGACTGATAAATATTTTACTCGTTTTATTTTAGTTATTTATTTTATTATAAATATTTTTGTTAAATTACTTTCTTCATTTATTTTTATGTATTTTAACAAAGAAATTATTTTTAAAAACAAAAAAAAGTTCAAAAATACTCCCAACTATTGAAAAAGTATATTAACCTACTTTCCCCCCTCAAAACTAATATAGATGTCATGGTACCTCAAAAGTCAAAATAAATAAATTTATTTTGTTGACTGGTATAATCAAGGATATTAGAAGAAATTAAACTATACATATTGACCTCATTGTTTCAAATTTTCAAATAGTATTAAAGTTTCTTGAAAATTAGCTCATCTCAACATCTCAATTTATACAAGTCTCTCTCATATCGATAATCCTAATCAAAGGGTTGAAAAATTCAACGTCACTATTTGAACAACTCAGAGTTGTTTTCTTTTTGCTTTATGAATATGAAAATAATGGTTATATTGGATTTAACTTCTCTCGTACATAAATAGAGGTCCTTATCAATATTCAAAGACCTAAAAATGAAAAAGAAAACTTTTGAACTAAGAAAAACAATATTTAATAGCAAAATTGTAACTTTACTATAATTCTTCACTAAATTCATCGACGAACATCATGTTCGATCATTATATTACCAAACACAATCTAGCTTTTACCTCATGGTCAATCTTTTTTATTACAATATATATGAGTCATGAACCAAAATACATAGTAATAAATCCTCCTACACGCATCCTTAAGCATTTATTCCAAATCCAAAATCACTCGCCAAAAAAAAAAAAGTACATATGGTATGGGACACATGTGGTTATAGTCTTGTAGATATTGCAGCATTCAAATTATTTTTGTTTAAACTCTATATTCATATTAAAACATTCACTAAACTAATAAAACTCAATAATGAGTTTTTTTTCTTTATATGAAAAATTAAAATTCTAGTTATTCATGCATAGCTTGCTAGAACTTTCGATGGTAATGATGGTGATCTTGTTTTGCTTCTTAACTCTCTAGCAACTTTAAATTGAGAAAAAAATTGCTTGTATGAATTATCATATTGTTGGTTGGATCTTGATTTTGCTTCATGGATGAGTAAGGATATTACAAGAAATAAAATTATACATATTGCTTTCATTGTTTCAAATTCTCAATATAGTAGTAATGTGATGAATTCTCTTTAAAATTAAGTTATCACTAACACCTCAATTTATACTCGACATGTTTTAATTTAATTATCCTATTTTAACTTTAACTTGTAACAGAGTTTTAAAAAGTAAAGAAGAATTTAAATTTTTGTGATTTTAAAATGGAAAATGCACAAGTATCGTCTCAACCTATGCTCGAAATTCAGACACACACTTATAATATACTAAGGTCCTATTTTATAAGTAATTTTCTACCCCTTTCGGCCTACGTGACACTAGCTTGAAAAATAAATCAATCATCATTGAACCCACAAGATAGTGTCACGTAGGTTGAAAAGGGGTAAAAAATTATTAATAAAATAATTTCAGGGAGTAATAGTACCTTAGTATAGTATAAGTGTGTCTGTGAAATTTCGGGCATAGGTTGAGGGGTACTTGTGCTTTATCCCAATTTAAAATAAATATACATACGATATACCAAAATATCATTTGAAAATTTGTTGTTAAAGAACTAACAAAAAAGATATATTTTTAAAAATGGATCAAATTAAAAATTATGACAAATAAATTGAAGAAATGCTTACATTATCAACATACATATTTTGAAAAAATAGAATCAACACCAAACAAAACTATTTTGAGTCCATATTAAATCACTAGCTCATCAAGCTTGATAACAATATTGTTAAAATTATTTTTATTATATAGTCATGTGAGTGGGGTTGCATATCTTCTTACAAATTCCACAATACTCACTAAGCCCTTATATCTTTTATAATAAAAAAAAGTTATTTATCTTTTCCAGAATTTAGAATTTATCAACTCGAAATTCTAGCTTCATCCCTGTCAGCTCATGTTCAGCTTATTGGTGCTGACGGAGGTGCGGGTGGTGGTGGTAGTCGTGGAGATGGTGGTGACGGTGGTGGCGGAGTTGGTGGTGGTGGCTTCATAGGAGGGAGATGCATATGAGATTCCTTATTAGATTGTGGTGGTGACAATATTGTTATTTTGCCTCTAATTAAACCAAAACCTCTTAGCTCTCTAGCAATCTTGTATTGAGAAAATAATTCCTTGTAGGAATTATTATTATTATTATTATATTGTTGCATGGATCTTGATGATACTAATTCCACACAAATTAATTCATGAATAATCAAAAAAATTAGAAGAAATGAAAATACACTTACTCCCCTCATAATTCTTTCAAATAGTAATGAGTTTTATGAAAATTAACTTACCATAACATCCCTATTTATATTACTTTTATCCGTTCTTTTTGGATTTTTTTAAGAATCGATAAAATAATACTCTAGCTTGAAAAGGGTCGAGAAAATCAACGACATTATCATATGCTTGAACAAGTAATATTAGGTTAAATCCACTAGATAATTTAATTAATATTTATTTGTTCCATTCTTCCAACTTGTTCAATATTTTTTTTTATAGATGATTAATAAAAAAATAATTTTTATACTATAGTCCAATCACTTTACCAAATTAATTTAATGATTTAATCAGAACCCGTGACTTTTAATTATTAGCAACTTGTTTGTGAAAAGTTGACTCGTTGACTCTAAAGTCTTTGTCATTTTGCTTTGTTGAAATTCTGATTTTTTTAATTTGAGGGTTTTATAAAAATATTAAAGAGAGATGTCACCTAAAAAAAAGAAAAAAAAAAGAATTTTGAATTTAATATTTTAAAGGGAAAATGGTTTAGTAGATGCTTATACAATTTTAGATTTATTGTATCAGACTTAAATTTTATGGGGTACTATTATAAATGTTGGATCATTATCATTTTATATTTTTTAAATAAAAAAATATTGGATATATCATTTTATAACAAAGGGGTTCGATCATTATCATTTTATATTTTTTAAATAAAAAAATATTGAATATACATAAATAGATGTCGTGTGCACCTGATTATTATTTTTTGGCCAAAAATGATGCACTTTTTTCTTAAAATTTAATGTTTTTATTTTTGTCAAAAAATGATTTCACGTAAAAAATCATAGCAATAGTATAACTTTATTTCTTAACTAAATGTCATATTTAACCATATAAGTCCAATAGAGTCATTCCAACCCCCTCGTGAGCGTTGTCATAGACAGAATTTTTCTATTATCTAACACTAACTAGTTCAATTTTTTAAATTAAATATGAACGCAAAAGCACATGCTTCATGTAATTAGCCTAATTATTATATTTTGCTTGTTCATAAGTAATATATTTAAAACAAAAGAAAAAAGATGAATCAAAATACATAATGTAATAATAATCCTCTTTCAAGCATCCTTAATCTTTTTATTACAAATCAAACCATTCACCAAAAACATATAAAAAGATAAAATAAAATTTTAAGTACATATGAAATGGTACATGATGTCAAGCCCAAAAAGGACTTAACTACAAATCAAACTTATTGATTTGGTGAAACTCTCAATCATTTTGTCTATAACTTTATATTTATGTTAAAATAAATTCAAAATTCTAATTCCGCCTCTGTCAGCTCATGAATAACTTGATGGTACTTCTGATGATGATGGTGGCGGTGGTGGTGCATGACGATAAGCAGGAGGTACAAGCATATGACTTGCCTTATTAGGGTCTGGTGATGGTGGTGGTGCTCTTTTGCCTTTTAAACCTCTTAGCTCTCTAGCAACTTTAAATTGAGAAAATAATTCCTTGTATGAGTTATCATATTGTTGCATGGACCTTGATGTTGCTTCAATATGGATGATTAATGATATTAGAAGAAATGAAATTATATATATTCCCCTCATTGTTTCAATTTCCTTGTAGTAATGAGTTTTTTTCTTTCAATATAGAAATATATATATATATATTTATATTGTGGATTGGGCTACTTTGGGTGATGAAATATGGGTGGTTGGGAAAGTCAAGGGGATTGAGTGGTTATGAGGTGACATTCAATTTCTCTGCAATATAGATTAATTATCGAGTTTCTTCAATTACATAAACATAACTCGTTATTCGTGAAAGTGGAGATAATAAAATCACGAATTCCTAGCCCCTTATATTTGTATTTTTATCTTAAAAAATAAATCACAAATTCAAAATTTTAACTCAGCAGATGTTCAACATATTGGTGTTGACGGACGTGCGGGTGGTGGTGGTGATGGTGGTTGTAGTTGCGGAGATGGCGGTGACGGTGGCGGTGGAGTTGGTGGTGGTGGCTTCATAGGAGAGTGACGCATATGAGATTCCTTATTAGATTGTGGTGGTGACAACATTGTTATTTTGCCTCTAATTAAACCAAAGCCTCTTAGCTCTCTAGCAATCTTGTATTGAGAAAATAATTCTTTGTAAGAATTATTATATTGTTGCATGGATCTTGATGATACTAATTTCACACAAACAAATTTATGAATAATAAAAATAATTAGAAGAAATGAAAATATACTTACTCCCCTCATTTTCTTTCAAATAGTAGTTTTATGAAAACTAGGTTATCACAAAATGCCTATTTATATTACTTTTGTGCATTTTCTATGAATTTTTTTAAGGATCGATAAAATAATTAATACGTTAGCTAATCGTGAATCGTGAGTCAAAAGGGTCAAGAAAATCAATGTCATAGTTATACTCTTGAACAGCTAATAATGTATGTAAAATAATTAGTACGTTATATACTAGGTTAAATCTACTAATAATTTAATTGATATTTAGTTGTTCCGTAGTTACAACTTGTTGAATATTTTAGTAGAGGATGAATAATAAAATACTTTTTTTTTTAGAATATAGTCCTGTTACTTTCCTGAATTAATTAAATTATTTTTGTCATAACCCGTGACTTTTATTAGCAATTTGTTTTTTTGAAAAAGTTGACTTGTTGACTCTAAAGTCTTTGTCATTTTGCTTGTTGAATAAAAAGGAAAAAAAATATGACTTTTAAATTTAACATCCTTTAAGGGAAAATAAATTAAAATGATATTTATATGATATCGGATTTACTGTAACACATTTAAATTTTACAGGGTTTTATGAGCTCCACGGGTTACGAATCAAATTTTTTGTATGCATATATTGATCAAAAGATAAAAAGATAAAAGTAGTTTGATCGTTATCACTAGAGCCGGTAAAATGGGTTTAGCCCATGGGGCCGGTCCAACTCAATCTGTTATTGGGGTAGGGTTAAAATAGGATTTTCAAGCCCCATTGACACTTGGGTTTATAAGCTCGAACCATATAAGTTATTGGCCCTTGAGGCTTGATCGTAGAGGGGTGGGGGTCGGCCTATGGGCTAAAATTTTTTATTTAAGAATAACTTACAATAATATCATTAATATATAATCTAATTGCCTAAATACATGATATGTTGTAATATTATAAATCTTACCAGATTTTAGTACGTTCAGATACATGTATCACAAAATATATGGACTTAAAATTAGGTTAATATGTTTTAGATACATTCTATCCAAGTAGATTCGCATGTATCTAGGATGCTAGACAAATATCGTGTCCTCGCCTCCCTTCAATCTTTCTTGTCAATCTATTATCTCGCTCGCGTATTTGATATGCAAGATAAATGTTAATTACACTAGACTTTTTGTTAGTGTTACTAAATAAAACACTATTGTTTGTCATGTTTAATTTAAAAATCTTCTCATTTTCTTGATGTTATAGAATTATAAGTTTGGAAAAAGAAAAAGGAAGGGCTAGCCCGCCCCAGCACTTGGCCCTTCTAGGATCTGGTTGGGTTGAACATTTTCAGGCCCTCCAGAATGAAGGGTTAGACCGCATAGCCCTTCAAATTCCTTGTTCCACAGGGCTTGGGCCGAGTGGGGGCGAACTGACCCTTTTTGACAGCTCTAATTATCACTTTTTATTCTTCAAACAAAAAAAATTGAAAGTATTAAAATAGACGTTGTGTGCGTCTGATTATTATTATTTTCACCAAAAATAATGCACTTTTTCTTCAAATATCACGTACGTTTTTTTTCTGCCAAAAATCACTCTCATGTTATTGGTGTTGATACCACTAGTTAGAATCAAATACTTAGTATCATGTCAAAAGTTAAAACTGATAACAAAAAAAAACATGATGTTATTTCTTAACTTAGTCTTCAATAAACATCATATTCGATTAAAAGTCCGACTAGAGTCGTGTCAACACCCTCGCGAGCATTGTCATAGATAGAATATTCGTGTATATTACCCAAAAGTCAACTACCTTATCACATGCTCAATCTTTTTTTTTCTTTACAAAATATATGAGTTTATGTTAATATAATATAAAATACTAAGATCCAACTCCAATAAAATAATTACACAAACATATAATTAAAAAAAAAAATTACCACGCAAAACACATGCTTTATGAACTAACCTTTGGTTGGTCAAGGAGGATAATTAGGCTTTGGTGGTAACAACAATTATTATATTTTGCTTGTTCATAAGTTACACATTTAAAACAAAAGAAAAAAGATGAATCAAAATACATATGAATAAATATATTAAAATCTCATTTAATCTTGTCGTCTTAAATAAATTACGTCGAAAATCAAAATTAAAGAATCGTAAAAAACAAAAACAGCCGGACAACTCAATTGAAACAGAGGAAATCTTACTTTTTTGCTCATTTTCTAACAAATATTTGAAGATCGACAATATAAACGATTGTTCTTATTATATTCAAAAGATTTTCAAATTAAATTAATTCAGTTAAAATTATTTTATCAAAAAGGATTACGAATCAAATTCAACATTAAAGTTAAAGAATTAAATTACTATAAATGCAATCTAGATTTACAAATCAAGAGTGCAAAGTGCAAACGGTTAATTATATATGTAGTAAAATTTTAAATTCACCATATATGTATATGTAATTATAATTTTTAACTAGGTATTTATATAGTTGGGTTAATTCAAAAAATTTCAATATTTTTTGCTAATTAAAATCAAATCAGATTAAATCAAAAAAGTGTAGGATATTTTTCTTT